ATAGGTGCGGCTGTAATAATTCGTTTCAGACTCCTGGTCAGGGATCCTCCTCTGAGCTGCCCGAGGGTCTGCAGAGGGGCGGCTAGAGCTGCGTTCCGGGCTGGAGGCTTTCCTTGGAGATCTGTTCACAGTAGAAGTCATACTCTTTCGGGTGGGCTCAGTTTGGACTGCTTCATCCTTTGGGCAAACCAAAGGCCTACGGGGAACTCTGACCCCTTGTGGGTTCTGGACCTTGGAGGGTGGGTCTTCTGGTAAGATTTGTATATTATCCTTCTGGTCTACAAAACTCAACCGGCGAGAGGATTTGACATTTGTGGTCGAGTAACGATTCATGTCCTGCCCGCCCTTGCTCTCAGCCCTTTTTCGTGGGGATTCCTCTTTGTGAGGACTACTAGTCCGCTGCACAGGAACAGCATAGGAAGATGATGGCTGAGTTTGCTGGATCTTTTGGTGAAGAGAGGAATGGTGATATGCGTCTGATTTTGATCGGCTCTCAGTTCCTCTAGAGATGGGTGCTCCAGTGAAGCTGCTTTCTGGGAGGCTAAAGCGATGATCATCTCTGGGAATGATGGAATGCCCCGGTTCTGATCTTCGATGGATAGGAGGGCTCATGGTGATTACAGCACTTCGATGGGTTGAGGCAGCAATGGACCCACGTCCCTGATGAGGGGTTTTGCTAGTTATCTCAGCCCCTTTCTGTGTTGAAACTATTACCTTAGTCCCAGTTTTATTGGTCTTGACCATTTGATAGGTGGTGCCTCTCTGGGTAGAACCCATATTTTACCGGCTGGCTTGAATTCAGGATCCTAATGAAGCCTGAATATGTACCCTCAGTTTTAAAAGCTGTTCTTGCATTCCCACAAAAGTGGCTGTTGTTCTAAGAGTGTCTCAAACAAGTCCCCTTAGCTACCTGCCTGGTGATGTCACAAAGGAAGGAGCTTCCTATTAAACATCCTGGCAAACAGCCACAATTTTCCAGCGAATCTCAAGCAGTGACTGCAAGGAAACTCGATGTCTTTGGAGTTGACATCAGCAAGGCTTTGACTAAATTCTTAGCAAAATCAGGATTTCCTGGTGTATAGGAAAGCACCATGCCCTCCCCTACTCTCCTGAGATTCCATAAATTCCCAGAGACTCATCCAAGGCAAGGCTATTCAATCAATCATGCTGTGTTAGCCCCAGTCTTAATTAGGTGCAAGGTCCAAATTTGTCCCAGTTTGGTTTGGAACTACACTGTATACAAGTAAAAAATATAGAGGACAACCTTTTCCAGGTTTTGTGGGTGGTTTGGTTGACCCAGGGGTAAAAATTCAAGGTCATAAATTCTCACATTCTTGGCTCAGGAGTAAGGGTAGGATTTGCAGAAGGGATTTGGAGTTATTCATTGGTTTCAGTCATAAGTGGCTACTTGTGCACAAGTTACTTGGCTTGCCTGAGCCTTGGTTTCTTCATCTAGAAACCACTGTCTGGTAGGTGGGCATTGCACAATGCTAGTGCCCTTTCTCACGATCCTTCTCTTAGCTATCCTGATCCGCTGGACCTCTGGTTCTTTCTTTATTTGAAGAGTGACTTTCCAACTTGAATATCCATTTTGGATAAGCAAGAGTCATCTTTCCCTTTCACAAGTTTCTCTTTGTGTCTTTGTCTGTCTCTCTCTCTCTCTGACACAGACCCTACCATATCCAACATCTGTTTCCCTATTGACTCTGAAGGGTCATCACAGTTCTGATATGGGCAGATTCACTGTTTCTGGATCTTTAAATTCAGTCTAGAGACAAAGATGAAACAACAACCACACATTTTTAGGTAGTGGGGATCTCAATAGATTGAGAAACTTTGAGCTACTGATACAAAACCTTAGAATGTAAAACATTAGGCTAGTCACTATATATATATATATATTTTTTTTTTAAATAGAAAAGGATAAAAGTAGGAGAACCTTTATAAGTCAGATATTTTGAAGATACTACAGGTAAACCAGGTTGAAGTAAAGATTGTTCTTATTAATTTACTAGAGGCCTGGTGCATGAAACTCATGCACGAGGAAGGGGTCCCCTCAGCCCAGCCTGCACCCTCTCCAATCCAGGACCCCTCATGGTCTCAGGGATCAGGCTTACACCGGCAGTCAGACATCCCTTTCACAATCCAGGACTGCTGGCTCCTAATCGCTCGCCTGCCTGCCTGGTCGCCCCTAACTGCCCCCACTCCTGCTGGCCTGATTGCCCCTCACTGCCTCTGTGTGTTGGCCTGATCGCCCTTAACTGCCTCCCCTGCCAGCCTGGTCACCCCCAACTGCCCCCCTCTGCCAGCCTGGTCACACCTAACTGCCCCCCTGCCGGCCTGGTCACCCCCAACTACCCCCCCCCACTGGCTTGTTTTTACACAATGCCCGTCCGCTTGATAATTGTGTCCCACTACACGCCTGGTGGGATGGGGAGAGCTATCTTCCCCACCTACAGAGAGATGTTGGAGCAGACCGCTGTGCGGAGTATGGTATGCGCAAGAACCATCACGGAGCCTCTCCACAGAAGCGTCTGTTTGAGAAGGCTTAGACACATATAAGAATTTACCATACAACGAATGCGAACATTTCTTGATTTTGAAGAGGACTTAGGATTAAATTAAGAATATCCCGCTGGATGGAGTAGTAGGCACTTGCTCATATCATGGCAGATGGGGAAGGGACTTAAT